GAGTGAGAGGGGACAAACACAGAATCCATGTGCTGCATCAGTTCAGCACTGGGGTGAGAGAGAGGGGACAAACACAGAATCCATGTGCTGCATCAGTTCAGCACCACAGTGAGTGCAGGATTCCTGCAGAGCTGCCCCAGGGAAGCACTGCAGGGGTGGCTCCTGCTTCCCCCCAAAGCCAAGCCCAGTGCCATCAGCAGTGCCCCCTCAGTGTCACCTGGTGCCAGGTGCCACTGGAGCAGCCAGGCTGTCCCTTGGCAAGGAGAGCGCAGACATGCTGCTTGTGTCATGCCACCAAAATAGCACACATGGCAGGTACAGTGCCTCTCATTTCCTCTCCTCTGTGGGGTGGGCACGGGAGGAGCTGCACAGAGAGCTGGCACTTGCTGGGGGCCCTGGCACAGGCAGGGCCTGGTTGGAAGCTGTCAGGAGGAATTAAGTGCAGGGTGAGTGCTCTGCGTGGAGGTGGCTCAGGGGCAGCTCTCAGGGCTGTCCTGCTGCCTCCCTCCTCCCTGGGCCTCTCAGCAAGGCTGCCCTCCTCTCTGGGGGTGTTTTCCCAAGTAATCCCATTAGGAAATCAGGGGTTCTTAGTAACTGTGAGAGGATTGCTGGTTTGTGTGAATGGGAGGGTGCCTGAATGAATGTCATACGTTTTGTGCTGTTGATATGAATTTCAGAAGTTTTCTGCCACACACACATTATCCAGCATCCTGGAAAGCTCTGTCATTCCTCTTCAAAGCACTTGAGTTATTCCTAAAATGGCTTCAGATGTCTTGGAGAGCATGGAATCACTTACCAGAGATGTTTAGAACAGGCAGCACTGTTTCCATTCCTTAGGAGCAATGAGGGGAAATGAGGCTCCCTTGTGACTGCTGTGTATGTTACATTCTTTGAGGGTACTGTGCTGAGGGAGGCCGGCTTGGCTTTGCAGTGAAGTGGAGGAGACTTGCTGGCTGGTGAGTGGAAGTGCTGTTCATTTTCAAAAGCAGTGTGCACTGTGCCACTGATGGGCTTTTAGTTACTCAGTGGTGTTTGGAGCTCAGGAGGACTTGGAGCAGCTGCCTTGGATGCAAGTCCTGTGGGAAACGCTGGCATTGATCAGAGGAAAGAACACATGTCTAGAGCTGATGGTGTAAAATGTTCCTCCCATAGTGTCATGGATCCCTGTCCCTGGGGCACGTGGGATCGATGCAGGGCCATGGATCCGCACTGCTGCCCTGCTGGGGCACTGCCTGGCTGGGGCTGCTGCTGGCTGAGCTGGAAAGGGCTCACATGGGCAATCTCTGAGCAGAGAGCAGCACCCTGGCTTTGGAACTGTGGCTGTGGGTGCCACAAGGTACCCACATGCACCAAAGGGAAACAAAACTATTGTGATGATGGGAAAGCAAAAAAGGCACATCTCAAAATGAATGTGTTACAATATAATCACTTTGATATGTGTCTTTTTGGAGGTTCTGGGAGAGGAAGGTGAAGAAGATACCCAAGTGGACAGAGCTGGAGAGAGACTGTCACAAGAGAGGAGACTTTGGGGATTTCAGAGTAGGGCAGAAAGCCAGAGAGAGGAGTGTGGAAGATCAGACCTGTGAAGAGAGGCCAAGTCTGCTCTCTCTAAAAGAAATACGCTCAAAGGAGACAATCACCCACAAACACACAGGGGGGACTTAAAAGCAGCCAGCAATCAATTTTCAAATAATGGACTTGATCTTTAGATAAAGTAGTAAAAGGCAGTGAGGGTGGAATAAATGCCTGATTTATCGCTGCATCTTTCTTTAGCTGCAGCAGCAACACAACCGTATTTTCTTCTCCTTGCTTCCCCTCTCCATGTCCTGAACAAAGTCAGGGAAGCACCTGTAGAGCTGTGATAGAAGGGCAGCTGCCAGCCTCCTCACCCTGCTGCTGCTTCACACAGGTGCTGCTCGAGTGCTGGGCCAGCCCTGCTGGAAATGCCCAGAGAGCAGGGTGGAGGAGAAAGCAGGCAGAGAGCTTTCCCAGCGCAGGACAGTGTGTCACTGACAGGCCACAGGGCCCCTGTGTGTTCCCTGGGAGCAGGAATTTATCCCTGCCTTGCACTCAGGTTTCTGGAGCCCTCCAGACAGTCAGCTCTGGACTTGCCTCAGTAGCACTGTGAGGCTGCTCTGCATTTCAGGGTGGGACCCTCCAGCCCAAGGGTTGCTGCAGCTGGGCAGGGGATGGGCTATCTCCTGTGCCAGGGGGTGGGCAAGTGCCTTTTCCCTGTCAGGGCTGCAGAGCTGTGCCTGCATTTGCTGCCCCTCGTCTCAGGGCACAGCTCACCCCTTACCCAGGGCCGTCTCTGGAGCAGGGCCATCCCTGCTGCTGGCCCTGCTCCCAGCCTGGAGCTCCCGTGGGCTGCAGCCTGCAGCACCACCGAGAGAGGAGCACAAAGGGGCACCTGGGTCTTGCTTTCCTGGGAATTCCCTTGTTTCATGAGGCATTCTGAACAGGTTCATTTGTTAAGATCTTCCCCGAGAAAGGAGGTCAGGGGAGCGCTTGCCTCGCACAGATCTCAGTGTGTGCAGGGAAGTTCATGGGGTAGCTGGCTAATGGCATCTACTGAAGTTCCCTGTGAAGCAGAGACAGTGGCTGAGGGATACAGCAGAGTGTAAACATGTGGCTCTTTTCCTTTCTGCAGATCTTTCCACCATGTTTGGGAAAAAGAAGAAGAGGCTGGAAATCTCCGGCCCCTCCAACTTCGAGCACCGGGTGCACACCGGCTTCGACCACCGGGAGCAGAAGTTCACGGGGCTGCCGCAGCAGTGGCACAGCCTGCTGGCAGACACGGCCAACAGGCCCAAGCCCATGGTGGATCCCTCATGCATCACCCCCATCCAGCTGGCTCCTATGAAGGTACTGCAGCCCTCAGCCTGTCTCTTACTGCCCTGATGCACCCTAAGGAAGCAGGGCCAGCACGAGTGGGCTCAGCATGGCACTGTCCAGGGGGCAGGCGTGGCTGGGAGGGAGCTGCAGATGCAAACATCTAGCAGCAAAAAGGAATTGTGTGTGTGTAGAAGTGGTGGGAGTGTCTCTGAAGAGCCTGAGTCACAGGCCTGGCAGGGCTGAGCCTTGGCACTGCCGGGCTGCAGAGGAAACAGCCCCAGGTCCCAGGGGTGGCCCCAATGCTGCTCCTCTGCAGCACACAGCTCCTTGGTAATTAATTCAGCAACAGGGCTTCAGGCAAAGGCAGGCTGGAGCCAGGGAGAGAGGGAAATGTACACCAAAGGAGGGAAATCAAATTGCCTGTTCAGCTGGGCAAGGAGCTCAGGGAGGGACTGACTGCGCCCACCAGTGGGGTGGGACATGCTGGGGATGGGACAGTGACACAGCCCAGGTCATGGCCTGGGGCTCAGGCTGCCCACCTGGGAGGAACACTTGGCTTAGAGGGTACAGCAGCCCTGGGCAGGGAGCCAGCAGGATTCCAGGCTCAGGATTCTGACTGATTGGCCCTGATTGTGCAGTGTCCCTGGGACTGCACATCCTGACATGCAGGTGAATCACACCTGTGAGATGCTGAGAGCATGAACCCTGCCAGCCATGCACCTTTCCCTGCCATGCAGCTGCAGAATCAATTTAGGATTTCATTTTCCTGAGGATTTTCCTGCAGCAAGGGAAAATCAGATAATCCTGAGAGCATGGACCCTGTAGTTACATTTGCTAAGTGCTCTTTGCTAAATTTGCATTCACTGCCTTCTCAGGAAGGGCACTCATCACCTGCTGATCAGGGCTGCTGGCTGCTGCTGCAGGACAATGGGGATAAAATCAAGCTCTTCTCTCTTTTTCTTTTTGCTGTAATAATATATATTGCTGATAATGGTGACCCAGAATAATGAGGAAAAAGGTAGGTAATCTTCTTCCTGCTGCTGTAGGAGAGCAACTTTGTTCCACAGCCCTTCTTAACACCAGAAATATCTCTGGATGTTTTGAATGAATACATGAAGATGTTTTAAAATGGGGGGGAGAAAAAAGAAGTTTATTATCTTCCAGAAATACCCTCTCTTTCCTACAGTTCTGGAGCTATAAATCCCTATTGGTTCTTTCCAAGAAACTGTAAATTCTTGCTTTTCTGCCTGTGTGTCAGGCTCTGCATATGACTGATTGGAATGGGCCTCCATAACAGAGCTACAAAGCTTTAATAGCAGCTAAGAGGTATTGAATATCACCTGAGCATTGGCTTTTAACTCTATTGCAAGATACCAGCTTAATGTATATTTGTTAAGAGTTAGCATGCTTTGTTTTGATACAGCTTAACTTAGAAGCTGAGTTGCCATCACTTTAAAATTGAGAATATTTAATAGTTCAGCATAAACATTTAATTTAGAGAAATTTTTAATGTGTGCATTGCACCAGTACATTTAATGTCTGAAGGGTATTTGGCACTGAGGATTTCCTAGCTTCACTGAGAACTGTAGGTTTAAAATGCACTTGCAGTTCATGAAGATAGGAAGCAAAGGCTCTGAGATCTCAGTGCTGTTTAGAACTGCTCTCTGTTGCACACAGCAGCTGACAGCTCAGTTGGTGCAATGGTGTGGGGCAGAGAGGAGGCACAGCTGTGCCCTGAGCCGCAGAGCTGAGTCAGGCTGGGGCCTTTGGCCAGAGTTAGCCGTGCTGTGGTTTCAGTCCTGCAGCAGCTCTGGAACCCTGCTGCCATGTTCTCCTGAGTTCCTTTGCCCTGCAATTCCTGCAGCACAGTCTGTGTGCTGTGAGGCAGGAGTGCTCCTGCCAGTGGTGCTGCTGGGTGGCTGAGGAGCAGCGCAGATCAGAGCCAGACTTGCACAGCCCGATCCTGCTGCTGGCACAGAGCTGGTGCTGGTCCCTGGGGCTTCACCGGAGCTGAGGCACAGCAAGGGAAAGGCTTTCCCTGCAGCTCTCTCAGTTAGGGCTGTTGGCTTGTCCGCCAGCCTGCAGAGCACATCTGAGGGTGCACAGTGTGTGCCTTGGGGTGAAACCAGCACATGATAAATACTGTCCCTGCTGCATCTCTCCCAGACATCCTGGGGGATGTCAGCCCTGCCTCTGTCTGAAAGGCTTCTGGAGCTCTGGCACACGTGTGGCAGCCTTTGAATGCCAGCCTGAGCTGCCTGTACAGAGTCATTCGTTTCAAAACCAGCCAGAGACAATAATGGGATTCCCCTTCTCAGTGTGGCTGCCCCAGATACCAGCAGAGCATTGTGTATTTCAGGTGCAAGCACAAGTACAGCACAGCAGAAAACTTCATGAAAAGTGGAACAGCAGTGATCTTGATAGGTTTGAGGGGTAGAGACAAGGAGGGGGTGAACAAAGGCTGATTTTCCACTGCAAACATCCCTGCATGAGAAATGTGAGCAGTCTGTGTCTGCCTGTGCTTCAGACAGGCTTCTCAAAGGCTGCCATGCTGTTGCCAGGCCTCTTGGTCCCCTTGCCTCAGTGCTCTGTAGTTACTCCATGTGTACTGGAGCTCCTGCTTTGCTGATTGTTCTCAGCACACCATATGCTTGCCTTATCTTTGCCTTTGTGCTGCACAGAAGCTCCACTCTGGTACCACCCTTGGATTTTTGGAAACTTCAGAATCAATAACTAAGCAAATGCATCTCCACTCCATCCAAAATACCAGGAAAACAGACATCAGAACCTTTATGCTGGGGATTTTTGCCAGGAGAGCTCATCATTGCCTGTGTAAAGATGCTCCATTAACACTCTTCAATGCCTGCTGCTGTCAGTGGGAGCAGGGAGGCACTGAAGACTTGTTAAAATCCCTTCCCATGTTTCCTGGTTGTGGTGGTTTGACCAGGAAGAAGTGGGAATTCTGGGAAGCTGTGGTCAAACCAATGAAGGTTTTGGGTTTGAGACTGACACCTGGTGTAGCCAGTGGGGTTTGGACACACCTCCGAGAATACACAGGGGTTAAAAAGCAGGGCACTGCACTTGGATCTCTCTCTTGGGACGTCGCAGCGCAGAGGTCGGATCTCTTCCCCCGTCCAGCCTCTGCTGCTGGGCGGGGGGAGGGGCAGCCATGCGGTAGGCCCGGGGCCTGGACAGAGATGGGGGTGAGAAAGCTCTCAAGGATGGAAGGGTGGGGGAGCCCCAAGAGACATCGGGCAGCCATTCCCCCCCCCAGGAGGGAGAGAGAGGAGAGCCGGCGTCTGAATGTGATAGCAGCCGCCCAGGAGGAGAAAGGGGAGGGAAGAGTGCAGCCTGGCCGGCGGAGCAGCAGCACCTGTGGGAGTACCAGCATTCTGAGATAGACAGAGACTGAAAACTTTTAACCCTTTCTTTCATGATTGGGGCCTTGCAAAAATGCTAATCCTCCTCGAAGCTGAATAAGAAGGGAGATAAGAGATGAGATGAGACAAGGACCTGGCCCGAAGAACGTGGAGATGATTGAATGGGGAGAGATGATTTGGAGTGGCCTTTTGGCTGGACTTTTCTTGTGGCCATGGACTCAGTTGTTCCTGTGACACAGACTGCATTTAGGGGGAGGCAGTGCCTCAAAACCAGGAGGGTTCATTCGTGAGGACCCCCCGGCCCCAGGGGGTTGGAAAAATATGGGGGGGACAGATGTCCCAAAGCAGAGACTGTGCCTTTTTGGAGTGAGACAAGGCATCCTTGAAAGACAACCCTAAAAGCAGCTCTGGCCATGCCTCAGTGGTGAGAGCACTGGGCATGGAAGGAAGATGTCACAAGCGGCAAAAGGACTTTTTTCCGGGCGGTGCCGAAGTGACAAGGAAGCACACGAGGTTTCAGTGTGTTTCCAGGAGAAGCCTATGGAACAAGAAGGACTCCTTTCCTCTTCATGAACTGCAATTTGAGTATACTAAAGTGTGGGGCCAAGGCTGGGCAGTTGATGATTTGGGAGAATGTATCGGATTGGGAAAGTCAGGTAGTGGGGAGGAGGAAAATGGTTTTTGTAAGGTTTTCAATTTTTTTTTTCTTTTCCTTATAGTCTTTCCCTATTTTCCTGTAGTTTAAGTAATAAAGTGTTCTTTATGTTTAAGTTGGAGCCTGTTTTGCTTATTCCTGGTCACATCTCACAGCAGACACCAGGGTGAAGGCATTTTCATGGGGGGCACTGGCTCTGTGCCAGGCTCAAACCATGACACTGGTGCAGGGAACAACTGAGCATCCTCACTTCTGTCAAGTTACTGCAGGGAAAAATGCCATTTGTTCCTGAAGAAATACCATACTGGGGTTATCCTTTAGTTCTCTGTGCTGCTCCATGTGTCAGGCCTCCAGTGCTGTTTTTGTGGCTGCCTTGGGTAGTTTCAGCCATCCTCACATTCAGCAAGACCAGGGTTCCCAACCTGAGAGTGACAGTGCTGAGTTTGTCCTTGAGAAAGGAGGGAGGCAGCTCTCAGTGTTTGGCTGGCTAAACATGTAGGGACTTCCAGAAAACTGAATTCTGCCTGCTGGGACCTCCTCATGACCTTCTCCTTCCTCTGCAGTAAATCTGGAGTGGGGGACTGACCTGACATCCTCATATCTCACAGCTCTGCTCTGTAGGGTTTGTCTTGAAACTTTAGCTTTTCTCACTTTTGCCTCAATCCTTGACCCCAATCCTGGTGAGTCAGCTTTAATTTTTAAATCTTTTCAAAGTTTCTACTGGTGCATTTCAGCCTCTCTCCTGCAAAGAGAAAGAAAAATAAGAAAATGAGTAATTGCTTGTGGCCCTTCCAATAGCTCTGACATGAAAATCAAAGCTGTTGTTCACTCTGCATGAAGATAGAAGGAAAAAAGGCAATTACTTCTCTTCCCCATCCTGTTTGGCCTCTCACATTTTCCCAACACTGACATTCAAGCCTCGTTTAAGGTGCCATTTTTGTCCTACATTTACATGTCCTTGCTTAGATGGAGGATACTGAGCACAGTGGTGCTGA